GGGAAGGAGAGCATCATGGAATGCCAGTTTAAAAGAAAAAAGTATTCTTGCATTAAGGGAGTATTTGAGTGGAGGCCCAATGTCATCCCTTCTTTTTAACCCTTTTGTGGGGGGATGTCCAATCGTCCACAGATGGGCTTTGGGTCTCCACTCCAACCCCCCTCGTTCACATCCACATAGTTGTTTGTTTTGGAAATTTTGATACCTGATACCTGGTTAGCTTATCTTAATGTATCTTAATGGCTGTCCCTGTCGGTCTGAGGTGTCTGTCCCATTCCTTGTATAGCTGGGGAGCCTGGTGTCACAGTGGCTAAGGCACTCGACTGTTAATCAAGAGGTGGTCGTTTGAACCCACCGCCCCAAGGTACAAAGATGAGCTGGTCTGCATGGAAGTTCTACTCTGCCCTATAGGACCAAACCCTGCCCCCAAACTCACGGCCATCGGGTCGATCCCGATGCATGGAGACCCTTCAGGGTCAATGGCCCTGAACTCTCTCCGGGTGCAGAAAGGCCCATCTTTCTCTCCAGGTGCTGGTGGTTTGCAACTGCTGCCCTTGCGGTTCGCAGCCCCAGTCGTAACCATGGCGCCACCAGGACTCCGTCTGTCCTACACATCAGAGACGACTTTGTGACAGTGGGGTGACTCGCTCTTGCCTGACGGTGCTGTGCTCGGTGTACCCCGACTTCTATGGTGGACGGGTGGCTGGTGGCCGGCGTTTTGCAGCTGCGAACGATGATGGGAGAAGGCCCAGCACTGTGGAAACAAAGTTGTGCGGATGTCTCTCTGCTTGTTAAAGGGAGTTTACGTGACTACCTTCTCCCCCCACCCCCTACTGCATCAGGCTCCGACTTGGGGGTTTGCGCCCCACCACTCTCCTCCCTGCTCAGAGAGGGCAGCGGCAGCATTGCCGGATAGAGAATAGGAGAACTAGCTCTTTTTCCTGGAAGGGAAAATGCATATCCCTCCCTCCCCCACCACCGTCCCTGACGTCTCTTTCTGCCTTTGGGGTGACAACAGCTCATTCACCCCCTGTATTTCTCCAGCCCCCAACAGCCCAGTGGCCCAGAGCCCAGTGGAGCCCAGAGGGATGGCTGCTGGGGGTGGGGGATGGGGGAGAGCCAGTGCATGTTTCAGCCTGTAGGCTGCAGGCGTGGCAGGGCCATGCCCACGTGGGCACAAACAGGGCTTGCCCTCCACCCTGCCGAGCTCTGCGGAGGCTCAGAGCTGTCTCCTAGGCGGGAGGGCCATGGGCAGGAACCCCGGGCTCCCCCTGGTCTCTCCTGACCCCTGCTGAATCCCCTTGGCCACAAAGGCCCACTGGTTGGTGTCCAGGAGCCTGTGGCATCCCTAGTGAGTGGAGGGCAGCTGACCCTATAGTTTGTGCCCCTGGAGATCTTGGGGGCTACAAGGGCTCAGCTGGGGGTCTCCTCAGGGCTTGGGGTGCTCCCAGGTCTGAGGCCTCCTGAGAAAGCCCACCGTCCTCTGTCCTCTTAATGAATAAAGCATGGCCATGAGGGCTGCTTCCCAGACCCTCCCCACCTCCTTGGGGAGGGAGGGGTGGGAGGTGGGTGCGCTTCAGTCTGGTGGCGGAAATAACAAGCTGTCAGGCCTGGGCGCTCTGACCAGCGGAGGTGTCAGCCTGGCAGCGGTGGGCCCGGAGCTTCCTCCTGCATTTCCGCCCATTGTTCCCCCTCCCACTTACAGGAATTCTCTCCACTGGACGTGCTGTGAGGCTGGACACCGCAAGGGAGGAGGAGGGATGGAGGAAGAGGGGGCCTGGCTTATTCTGAGCCCCATGGCCCTGGTCCTTCTCTGGCCCCTAAGTCTTGGGGACCCTCAAGCTGGAGCTCCAGCTCAAGCAGATTGGCTCCCCACTGCTGCCACTGTGCTCCCCAGGCTAGAAGTCCAGACACCAGAGCTAGAGACCTAGTGGCCCCAGTGTTTCTTTGAAGGACAGGGTGGACTTCTTCCCGGGATAGTACATCTGTTGCCTGGTCCTCCGCCGATTTTTATTGCTGCAAAAAGATTTAACAATTTGAGTGCCCCTACTAGAAGGCCGAAGCACTGGATGTGGGACCCTGGGGGTCTTTTTCCTGGAAGGAAAACGGTGTGCTCGTTGGGGTGAGGGTCCTGCCTCTGCCCCCTGGTTTTTTCTGGACACAGCCGGTCTCTCTGTGCTTCCTTTATGACCCTGACTGGCTGGGTTCTGGGGTCAGCAGACATGGCTGTGTCGGCTGGGAGCCCGGAGATGCCGAGTCCCAGAGGCATTGTGGGTTTATTGGGAGATGTGGCCCCACCTTAAGGAGCTGCAGACCTGTGCAGCCCAAAGTCTAGTGAGGGGGCCACCTGAGCTCCAGTCTGACGGGGAAGTAGGACATGGTCTCTGGGGAGGCGCAGAAAGGGGTTAGAGTTGACCGTGACCCTGAACCTGTGTCTTTCCAGGGCCCTGCTGGCCATGGCTGGGGCCAAGGCCTCTGATGGCAGTGGTGGGCTGAGGGAAGCTGTGGGAGTAAAGTACCCTAGCCACTGATCTGTGGCCCCGATAACCATTTTCTGCATAAAACAAGCTATGCCGGAAAATAGTTTATTTTTTCATACAGTTAATCTTTAAATAAGAACTATAAAAGAGGTAGACAAAACTAGATTACCTTACGACATTTAAAATAGTAATGAAAAAATATGAATGCCTGTCAAAAAAAAGTGATACTGTTTCTTAAAAAGATATTCTGCACACTATTTAAGAGGCTTTTTTCCCCCCTAAAATACAAAGAAGACTTTAAAAAAGAGCAACTTATTCCATTGCCATAGACTAAATTCGGACTCATAGTAACTCTGTAAGACAAATAGAACACTGTCTTCGGGTTTGTGAGACTATAACTCTTTACAGGAGTAGACAGCCTCATCTTTCGTTAGTGGCTGGTAGGTTTGAACCTGTGACCTTTTAAATTTTTCCAACAGTTTTATTGGCACACAGTTTACATGTCATACAGTTGAACAGTTCAATCGTTCGATCACATCAAGGGGAGTTGTTCGAACGCCACCACATCTATCTTAGGGCCTCCCCCTCCCCAACATTGAGACTGTTCTCTAGGATAGATCCATGTTGCTGCTTGACTGGCGGCCTCACTTGCATTCGTCCCGAGGATCACGGCTGCGTGATTTATCCCGAACCATCTTTTCACTGCAGGAGGAATTGCCCATCCCTTTAGACAAGCCACTGTGTGTGACAGATTCGAAACAGGCGACTTCTCTGAACATATCATGTTCATCTTCGAAAAACCCCTTTCTGCTTCTGCTGAATCCACAGCACTTGTTGGGACAATGTGAGCTCTTTGAATGCTTTCAGGAATGGCACAATTCACTCATAATGTCTCGGGGGGCCTGGGGCATAACACAGGCTGAAAGGAGCCCCCCCTTTCCTCTTTGCGTTCTATGTTTGTTAAAGTGACAAGAGAATAAACATGTAGTATTTCACCAAAAGTACAAAGACTTTTATGAACCGAGTAGATAAACATTACAAGCACAGTTGCGTCTAATTTGTTTATACCTGTGGATGGAACCCACGTGACTCCGGGCACCTGACTGCGCTGTCTCGCAGATGAACGTTGAAAAGGAGCAAGGAAGGTAAATCTGTGACTTCCACCTTGGGCTGCTGCCCAGCCTTGATCACCAAGTGCCATCTTAACAACCGCTTGCCAAACTCAACAAAAACTAGGTATTGGTTCTGCTGAACCGGTGCACATTGGCTGAACCCCCGATGGCTGAGGGTCTGGTAGGAAGAGGCAGAAGCTTGAAGCGACTTATCTCCGTTCTACCTTTCTCTCCGTTTAGGTTCCTGGGAGAAGCCAAGGTTCCACTCCAGGAGGTCCTCGCCACCCCCAGCCTGTCTGCCAGCTTCAACGCCCCGCTGTTGGACACCAAGAAACAGCCCACTGGGGTAAGTGCCCACGGGCTACTGCACTAGACATTGCTTGGTGGCTCCCTCCCTGGGCACTTCTCCCTGACCCTTCAGGTGGTTACAGCCCACCTCTGGGAACCAGACCTGGCTGCCCTTGCCAAAGGCTCCAGGATGCCCAGGAGGGGTGCTGCGCTGGGGAGACCAGGCTGTGGGCTCAGGCTCGGGCCACCCAACCACCCTCCTCTCGTGTCAGTGTCACGGTGTGAGCTTCTCCTGGCCCTGTGGCTGCCCCTCGTCCCAGATGGGGTAGTGGGTTACAGGTTGGACTGCTCACCATGAAGTCTGCAGTTCAAACCCACCAGCTGCTCCTCGGGAGAGCCATGGAACCTTCTGCTTCCAAGAAGACTTTATAGCCTTGGAAGCTCCCAGGGGCAGTTCTACTCTGTCCGGTAGGGTCACTCTGAGTCGGAATTGGCTCGATGGCAGTGGTCTTCCCCAGAGGGAGGCGTGGCCACCTGCTAGGCTTGTGTTTTGGTAGAGACCCCGTGTCTTTCCAAGCTTCCCTGAGCACCTAATGGGTGGCCCCCCCATTTCCCTGACCGCCACACAGCCCAGCCCTTGCTCCAGAGCTGGAATAGCTGAGTCATCTGGGTCAAGATGACAAGGAAGGGGAACAGACATCATCCCTCCCTGCCTGCCCCCTGGGACCGGCCAGAACCCTTCCTTTTCCTCCATTGCCCCTCTCGCCCCGCCCCCAGCCTGCCCAGCCCCAGCAGACAATGCCTGGCCACCCGTCATCTGGCCTTCTGTTATTTTTAGTGAGCTAAAACCACTCTGCCGAGTTCTTGCTTCCTGGTCAGTGGAATTCCTGACCTTCCTTCGGGGTCACCTCCGTCTCCTGGATGCACTAGGGAATGATTGATTTGGAAACCCTTTTCTGTGGGGCCTGCGGGGTTCTGGGCCTGGGTTCTCTCAGACTGTGGGGTGGTGTGTGTGGGGGTGTGTGTGGGGGTGAGGGGGTGGGGAGGGAGAGGAGGGGAGAGGAGGAGAAGGGAGAAGGGAGGTGTTGGGAAACCCTGGCTAGTTTGGCTTGGACAACCGCTCTGCTTAGAAGCACAGCTGGGGTTCTGACCCTTGGAGAAAAGTATGACAGAGTGACTCTGTGTCCCAGCAGGGCCAAGAATCAGGGGAGCGTCTCCCAGATTCTCAGGGCTAGAAAGACTTGTATGGCATCTCAGTTCACGGGACAAAAAGCTCACAATTCTTCGGATGCTGGTGTTTGCTCCAAAGGCGTCTTGGACCAGTGATGGCTGGGCGATTTTCTTGATGGAAAGATGTCCACTTCCTACAAGAGTCCATCCCTCTCTCAAGAGCACTGTTAGAAGGTTCTGTTCTCGGTCATCTCTTGAATGTTCCAGGGACTCCGGAGTGCTCCTCCAGGAAATCCCACCGGCAGCAATGTGGTTGTTAGTTGTCACGAGGCGGCCCCCCTTCCTGGCCTTCCCTCCTAGTCTTTCTTAGTCTGGAAGCTCCACTTGAGCCTGCTTGGCGTCGTAGCAGCTGTGCAAGCCTCTGCTGACAGACGGGTGGCCATGGCTGTCCGTGAGCTACCCTGGCTGGGAATGGAACCTGGGTCTCCCACCCGGAAGGCGAGGGTTCTACCCGTGAACTTCACTGTCCCTAGACAGAACCATCTGAGCCTGACTGTGGAATGTGCACGCAGGAGGTGTAGTCACGGCAGCTGCTGAGCGAGGTCTTTTGAGTTAGGAGACCTGTTTCTTGCTTCTCCATCACATCTCAGGGACAGGGCTGTGTTCCCGGCCTGCGTAGTGGTCTCCCTGGCCTCAAATGGAGGTCTCTCACTTTAGTGCTGATGCGCTCAGACGCCTCTCCACTCCAGCCCTGCAGACCCTCCAGGGCACAGCTGCTTCCTCTCCTTCTCCTGCCCTCGGCACTCCCGTCCAAGCTTGAAGGTGCATCCAGCCTTTTATGTCTGGTCCCTCTCCCGGGGGCTAAGTCAGCAGGCTGCCTTCTCTCTCTGCTCCTGGGTTCCACATTCTGTCCAGATCCCACTGTCGGGGCTTGGGGCATCAGGCCCACCCTCTGGAAACCGACTATGATGTCTTCCCTGTGCTAGGGTCCCCTGGGGGCAGGCAGGGGTACGACCTGTGTGTCAGCTTCCTGGAGACCAGAGGAACCACATGGTGCCCAGCTACGACTCCCCACTGCTCTGAAAGGGATCGTGTTAGGAGGTTTTGCATAGAGTCGGGGAGAAGCATGTGGGAAAACCTCAAAACCATCAAGGAGGTCAGCCTTACTGGTCAGACGGGTGGACCTCCTTAGTCATTCTTAGTTATTCTGTAGGTCTGAAATGAACCTCCTTCCCACGGCGCAATTTTCAGCTAAATGATAGCTCTCTCAGGTGAGCGATTCCACTAGGGAAGTACATGCGCCTTAGAAGATTCGAGCAGGGCAGCGTTCATCTCAGGACAGAGTTC